TTAGAAAACAACTCAATGGCTACGTGATCAAGGAGGCTCCACTTCTAGTTATTCGTTACCTCTTTAAACACTGTTATCTTGACAAATTTCTCCCTCGACACATACTTGTCAGAATCATATCATGTTTGCTGTAACCTCATTCTTCTTTGTTCCCATCTTATGAACACATTTAGCTAAATACGAAATCTCACCTTCAAAAGTTTCCTCTCTGCCTCAGTACTATAGTTAAACCGGAGACCTAATCTTGACATATTTTACATGCATGTTTTCTCAATCTTTGTACAGGGATATCAAAAGGCAATGTGGGTACATTTTTCATGGACCTGAAGATTTGTAGATTAAAGACAACACCTTGAGCAGAGTATTATCGGAAAATTCTATAGACGGATGGAGTATGTGGACAGTCCGCGACTGCCCAAAATTTTTAGTTGTTTAAAGTTTGTTCTCAGAGGTTGATAAAAGTCAATCCTGAAGGCTTTTTTCAGCATATAGAGACAATCTTGCAAAGAGTCAACGAATCGACGAACGATGGAAGCAAAAAACTAGAGGAGGTTCCTTACTAGATCTATGCATCAAGCTGCTTTGATCAGGCTTCTATTTTGTGTTGAAATTGATCGCATTTTCATTATGCTTTCATTTTCTTTGGCTAGGGATTAGTTTAGGTTGTTATTATTATTATTATTTGTACTCTTTATGTTGAAAATAAAAAATAGCAAGAAAAAAATGTGGATGTATTAAAGAAGTAAACTGAGCACAAATAGCTTTTGTAAAAACCTAATGTAGATTAGTGCTACACATGTGGAGATATACACAAAAGAACTAGCTTCCTGGATTCTCATTTACCCAAAAATTCTGAGTTTTTCTGAAGTCTTTTAGTTATTTTTCCTTTTTAAATTTGTTAGATATTCAATGGTGAATAAAAGATTAGATATTGGGCCTTCTAGTCTCCAAGGGAATGTCAAGTGTTAATGGAGGCAAATTCAGGATTTGAACGTTGTTGGGTTCAAGTTCCATATTTTAGCACAACATAGGATCCAAGATTTGAACATTATGGAGTTTGAGTTCGATATTTAGCACGTAGATTGTTTTACTGGATGAACTCATACGTAGTTAACACGTAGGACCAACAACCTAGAGAATCATACGTAAGCTTTAGTTAATGCACTTCTAATTAACTTGAGTGCCCATTTTCATATTTACTTACCTTTTCTAGCGTGTATACGTAGATTATACAATTTTGATGAATTTGGTTTATTTTTTAGTTTAAATTGGGGCGACTATTTAGGTTAATTTTTGGTATTTCCTTTACCAGAATGATGTGTGTGAAGTGTGAACTACTTGGTTATATGTGCTCATCTTTGGTATTTCCTTTATCAGGCCCATTTAAACAATACTTTTTTGAAATGAAAATTACGCGGTTAAGCAAATATATTACATTTTCTCTCGCCTCTCTCCTCTCTTCCTCTTTATAACATGTAGCTACGAATCATAATTAACAACTTATAGCTATGAAGCATAATTAAGCTATTTTTAAGTGGCTGTATGTGAAAATTCCCCGTGATTAATTTCGAAACGCAACAGACGATTGATAACAAACACAAACATTTTCTAAATTTTGAGCCAAAAGTGTCCAAGTACAGAGTTGGGCTGCTGGGCTCCTAAAGCGAGATGGGCTGCATGAGGCTGATTTCATAGAGCAATGAATTGCTCCCGCTCTATGCAGCGGAGGGATAATGGGCTGGTCGTTAAAAGCCCAATGAATGCCTATTGTGCTGCTTTAATTAACGTTGAGATGAATATACAGATACATTGAAATAGAGAGAAGTAGAAAGGCAAGCGAGTTAGGACAGAGTCGAGCGACATAGTCTACATATGAATCACACTAAATAAAATGTATACGAGATACTAGATACTTTACAAATTCATTTTGTAATATAAATACACAAGAAGAAAGGCAAGCGAGATAAGAGAAATGTGAGCGAAACAGTCATATACATGCGAATCCATTTAGACACAACGTATCTGAAACAATTTACACCTATAATATTTCATGGAAAATAATTTTTCTATCCGGTAAAGATAAAAAATATATACGTATTGAAAATAATATAAAAATTGTAGTCGTCAAATATAAGTATCTAATCTGGAAGTTGGATACCTTTAGATTCGTTACATAGGTATCTCCCCTCTTGTGACAATATATAACTCTGCAACATAACCTCCTGACAACACTTAATTCTTAATGATTTATGGATCAATATTTATTCAAACAAATTTTATATATATATATAAATATTGTATCTTATGTTATAAAAAAAAAGAAGAAATAATTCAGAGAAAATACAGAGAAATTATGTTGGGGAGTGAGGGGACCGCCAAGTAATAAAAGAGGAATATATATGGTGTCAGATTAGAGCCCCTAGGATTTGCTTCCCACAGAATAGGAAACTGGTAAAATAAAATATCATAAAACAGTTTTGGCAATTTTACAAACACGACAACATGTTCCTGGCTGTATTTTTGCTGTACTTAGTGAATTGATATCGATATTTATTTTGAAGTCTCGATTCATTTAAGTTTATAATGTATAAGACTTATTAAAAAGACAAGTATTTTTTATTAGTATCTTTTCAATTTTTTGAAGGGAGAAGGCATAAATACCCCCTAGACTATGATCGAAATCACAGGGACACACCTTAACTAAATTAAGGTCATATTACCCCCTGAACTCATTTTATATATAATTTTGTGCACCTTTTGGCCTATGTGGCACACTCCGTGACTCCACAGAATTGAGATGCGTGGGAGATACTTCGATGCCACGTAAGCCAAAAAGGTGTACAAAATTACAAAAAAATGAGTTCAAGGGGATAATAGGACCTTAGTTTAGTTAAGGTGTGTCTCTGAGATTTGGGTCATAGTCTAAGGGGTACTTGTACCTTTTCCCTTTTTTGAACTCAAACTCGAGACTTTTCTAGCTAATTAAGAATGGAAAAAGTTTTATTTCATCATCCACCATAACCTTAGATGGGATCATCAAGACTTTCTGCAATCTAGTTCTTTTTTTTTTACAAGAAAGTATTTGGTGTTCAGAATTTATACCGATCATAATTAATTTAAGACTTTGTGTTAGGTGAGTGTAGTAACAAAATATATATATAATACTTCTAGCTACAAGTTTTTCATTCCTAAGGCTCAAATCTGATATTTTCAACCCAACTTTTTTTAATAAAAAAATCCTTTTTTTGTGTGTGGTTTGATTCAAGTTTCTGATCCATTACAACAGTTAACAGCCAGCTACTGATTGTAAGACAGATATGAGTTTTAAACATGTGATCGTGTTGTCATAATATCTGGATTTTTAGTTTAGAGAAAATGATTTTAGTATAAGGTCCTAATTTAATTGTTCAAAATGGATAGGACGTTGGTCCACCTCTTTTTTAAAGAGAAAATTATCATACGCATGTCCTAAAAAAACGCCAAGGTTTGATGTAACTCACTACATATAAACTTTACTATTTTAGTGTAGATATTTATTTTGATTGGACATTTTTTATTTGAAGTATACTATTTCACTATTTGGGAAAATACCTGCATATTACTAGTACTTGTTTTTATTTTTTCGTATTTACTTATTATTACTTCTGAATGATTTAAGCGATAGGTTGTTATGTTCAAATTTATATAACAAAACAAAGAGATAAAATATAATCAATTCATTTAATTTATTTATCTTACTTTTTTTTTTCTTTGTTTCTTTTTTTGAACAATTATTTAATTTAAACTTTTTATATGACATGAAAAATTATTTAAAAAGAGACAGAGGAGACAAAAAAGACACTGTATAATGTAAAGAAACGAGACTTAAGTCGCTGGAAAATTTGCCGTGTGCGGCGTGACCACACTATGAGGTCCGCGTCATGGACATGCCTAGGGCTTTTTGTACTCATTTGAATATGAGTTGTATTTTGATATTAAGTTCGTAAATTATACTTTTTTTTTATTTGAGTGTACGGACTAGTTTTTCTTATGAGGATACTTGTTTCATGATAGATATGTGATAATATTAGCTTTTGATGGAATAGCTAATAGGTGAGCGAGTTTAAATTTGATGAATTAGAGCCTGTCTCTAAAGTTAATTAGTTGGTTTGAAGTTTATTGTTTGATTTTGATAAATGATATGTATACCTTGCATTATGATAAAAAGAATGTGAGTTGTTAGTGGCCTAAGTTTTTATATCAAGTAAGGTGGTGACATTCCTAAGCATAAACATGATCTACAGATATTAGTTTTAATGCTTATTCGAGAATATGCAAGAGTGTACATGTTGTAGTTGAGCAACGACATCGAAGCATTAAGAGATTAGTGACTGAGATTTAAAAGCGGAGGTTATTTGAGGTAACAAAGTTAAGGAAATAAATTACTTGGTTTACTAGAGTTCATTTGAGAGAATAACTCTAGGAAATTATAACACTTTGTCAAAAGATATTTGTGGTAAGAAAAGATTCATGATCGATAGAGATTATTAATTCGGAAGATTATAGCTAACATAGTGAGAAGAAATTCGACAACAGGAGAAATCATAACTCTAGCCCTCTTTAATTTTGAAGTCAATTACCCATTTTCTTATTCCCGTTGATAGTTTTTACTTTTTACTGCTTTATTATTTATAGTTAAGTAGTTTAAAATAAAAATCTTGATCTTTAAAACTAAATAATTGTTCAAACTTATTTTCTTAGTGACATTAAATAGTTATAGTGCACTATGAAATTTGACACCAAACTTAAAAATCGAATTATATTTTCATCGATCATCTATCCTTTTTAGGAGGATTTTTAAACGTGATCACACCTAAAGGACAATGACAACAGGCTCTTTATTAACAAACAAACAAAAAAAATAAGATAGTACTTTCTTTGGGAAATAAGTTGCTCTTTCGATTGCATTTCATTTATATTATTTTGGTTATTGTACAGATACATGCATGAGAGAAAAAAAGAAGATTGGAATGAGCTACAACTTTTCATTAACTTTTCTCTTTTCCATTCTTTGTACATATATTATAACTAGGTTACCATACACACGTAACCCTTCCATTAAAGTTAAAAGTTATAAAAAAAAAAAAAAACTAATTTACTTTTATGAAGATCTTAGTGACAAGCTGGTTCTGAGTCCTCCATTTCAATCCCAACCTCAGCTAGCCTCTTCTCCTTGTACACATATCGTCTCGAGAAAAACAAGAAAACCATCAAATTCAACACACTCAATATTGCTAATAGCCAATAGAAATCATATAACTTTCCTTGGTTCAAATTATCAGCTAACCATGGTTTTTTCCCCGTTACTTTGTGCACAATAGTCACCAAAATTGAACTAAAGAAAAATCCAAGTGAAAGTGTACTCAAAAACAACCCTGTACTCATTGTTTTCATCCCTTTTGGACATTCCCTTAAGAAGAAATCAAGTTGTCCAATATATGTAAATGCTTCACCTGCCCCTACTAGCAAAAATTGTGGCACTAACCAAAAAACACTCAAAGGTATCATAGCATTTGCATCATTAGTCAATCCATGCAAATGTGCCACGTTCAATCTTTTCACCTCGGTTAGAGCGGCCGCAATCATGGCTATAATCGATAGGACTAAGCCTACTGCAATACGTTGCAGTGGGCTTAGCCCTTGAGGGTTGTTGAGGACACGTTTAGCAATTGGTACAACTACACGGTCGTAGAATACACATGTTACGAGGATGCTTCCAACGAAAAAGAGCGTTAACGACGCCGGAGGGATTTCAAATTTTCCGATGTGACGATCCATTGTTGTAGCTTGTGACACGGAAAATGTTGTCATTTGGGCATAGACAGTCCAAAACATAATTGTCGTAGCCCATGTTGGTAACATTCGAACTACTAATTTTACCTCTTCAACATCAGTTAAAGTAGATAAATTCCATTTATTTACCACGGTAAATCCAGCAGATTCAAGGTCATTTACCTTAATAGCAGCCTTGTCCAAGAAACTGTAGAGAATAATAAAAACAAAATTCATGGTCAAAATCTTGGTCCACAATATAATTGTAATTTAATGAGGACATTATTGTTTAAAATAAGAAAAAAAAGGGAGAAAATTAATATTTTTATTATTATTGTAGTCCACTTCTTTTTGTTTAAATAAATATATTATATATATTTATGTTTGTTGCTAGATTTAAAACTTAACAAGTTGTCTTGGTGACAGACTGGCTGAGAGTATCTCGTGATCTTGGTTTTCTTTAGTTCTTAAAGACAAAGTATTCACGGAATCTCTAAATTAAAATAATAAAATATTTCTTTCTATTTCAGATGAGAAAATATTATATTTATGTATAATTTTATCTGACATATGACGTTGTATTTGTACAAGAACCATACTATATTTAAACAGCTTAAGTTTCGAAGTTTATCCATTTGTCTTGATCTACCCTCATCCCTACTGCCCGGAACAATAATAATAATATATTTAGTGTAAATTAAAAAATAAAATAAAGTATACACGAAACTTAAATGAATCTTATGGTAAGGAAAAACTATATAAGAAAAAAAAAGATTTATAGGAAGAAGTTTCAAAATTTGCTTCAAGGATAAATCACTATCAAGGAAAAGTTAGTGATAGAACTGTTCACCTTTTTTTGGTTTTTAATCATTTAAAAGGTGTATGATTACTACCTTTTAATTGAATTGTAAGAAAAAAAATTATATCCTAAAAAGAAAGTAAAAAGGGAGTATATTGGTCATTAAAAGTGCGCTCGTGTTAGTATATAAAGTAATAGTAATTAATACTAACAACCACAAACCTATAGGCAATAAGTGAGGAAGGCTATACTTTAATTTCCACACATATGAAAAAAGAGAAAAAAGTAAGTAATTAGTATACTCCAAATTCCTTGGGGTGGTGGGGATAGGCTACTTTATATTCAATCATATGTTATAAATCAACTTGCAAAAATATTATTAAAATGTTGATTATCTTGCCCATATATGCTAAAACATTTCGACAAAATGAAATTTTTGAGTTGATTTGATTGTAGATATTTTGATTTATTGTTTGATGGTGGTGGTTACCTATCAAAGATTTGGCCTACCATTGGGATAAGCTCAAAGAACTTGAAAAAAAATAAGATAGTTAACTTGCACATAACAAGTTCATTTTTCCAAATTGTTGGCATCTTTTCTTCCTTCATCTAGAGATTTGTCAGGACATTGCACATGGTTTAAACTTTCAAAAGCATCATTTTTCTCTCTAAAAATGTATAGAACTCATCATTTCCTACTTCTCGTTCGATATAAATTTTAGAGCCTAATTAATTTGAATAGGGATCGAACGTATACTGATCACTAAAAATGATATTTTTTAAGGGGAGTTATTATAGTTAGGTGGTTAATTCAAAAAGTAATATGATAACAATAGAAAAAAATATTAAGTTATATATACTGACAATATTATATTCTGTGGAAAAAAAAGACGAAAACTCACCGGTACTCTTTGCTGTGTGGCAACCTTTGTTTAGCTTTTTTATTTCCATCACCAGGAATATCATCAATATTGAAAAGAAGTGAAGGATCAGAAGGCAATTCCAAATGTTTTTTCCTCAAAGCAGCCACAAAAACCGAAGCAATTTGTGTCAATGGACTCCCCACAAGTTTCTTAAACCGATATTTTCTAGTTCCCGATAGAAAAATCACCAAACCGATAACGATAGCACATGCACAAATTCCATAACCCCATTCTCTTCCCAAATTATCTTGAATATACACTAATATTGTCACTGCACCTAGTGATCCCACGTTGATAAAGAAAAAGAACCAATTGAAGAATTTTATCATTTGCCCTCTTTCTTTTTTGTCCGTTTCATCAAATTGATCCGACCCGAACCCGGACACGCTGGATTTTAACCCCCCGGTCCCGAGTGCGGTCATGTATAGGGCGATGTATAGGACCATGAGTTGCTTGCCACTTGCGGGGATGCATGCTGAACTACCCTGCTCACACTTTGGTGGTCGGAGGCTTGGGATTATAGTCGAGATGGTTAAGATAGTAACACCCTATAAAGAAATAAACACACGAAAAAGTCAGAAGATTCAATAATTGAAAATAAAAGAAAAAATTAAAACCCCTTGTGCCCCCAACCTCCTATTAAGCTACCATATTAGATTCTCATGAAAAATTATATATTATTGTAAGTTAACTATGCAATATATGTATTTTTTTTAATACTTGAACTCTTTTTGAAGAAAGAGAAATGAAAAAGAATCTCTTTTTTTTTTTCTTTTTGAAAGATTCAACTAGGGGAGTTAATATATATGTTTTTCTTCCTCCCTCTCTTCTTTCTTCTCTCTTTCCACTTTCTTATTTCATAATCAACCATATTCAACATCCATACTTGCTCCATTTCATTCTTTATAAAATAAGTTAATTTAAACCAAGTGTCACTAAATTTTTCCTCATCTTAATTCCCTTTTTCATTCGATTTTCCTCTTCACAACATCTACAATATGCAATCTAAACTTCATAGTTTATTTATTGATTCTTTAATTTCTTCATTGTTGTCATTCCTACTCTTTCCATTCTCCTCATCACAAATTCTTAAAAAAGATTATAAATTTCCATGCATCAATCTCACGTAAGAAGAAAATAAAAAGGTTGATTTGATGATGACCAAGTTAAGTCCAATTCCAACATGATGGCACTTAAAAAGTAAATAAAGTCACTTCATAAAAAGAAAGATTTTTCTATTTATTTATTTAAGTTATCAACCAATCAAGATTCAAGAAAATAAATAGCACCTACCATAGCTTGAATAGTAGTAAAGATACCAATTGTAAGGTACCTGATTAGAAAAAAATAACAAAAAATATGTTAGCTAGTCATGACATAATTATTATATGAACATATATATTATAAATTTTAATTATAGAAATTTACGAACCGTCCAAGAAAAGTGTCGGCTACAAATCCACCAAGTAAAGTTAACATAAATGAAGTCCCAAGAAAATTTGTAACGTTGTTGGCTGAGTTCGCATTTCCTAAATGCATTGTTCCAGTCAAATATGTCACAAGGTTTACCGCTATACCTAGTGTTGTTAGCCTCTCCACTGCCTCAATCCCTACATAATCGTCAGAATCAAGAGTCAGTCGATATCAAATAAATGATTATAATAAGTTTAGTTGAACTGACAGAACACGTTAGTTACCTAATATCATGGCGGCGCTAGACCAACCGCCGGAGGAGGAACGAAGAGCTGGTCGACCTTTGTAATCCCAGGCATCTGGGAGAGTTTTTGTGTCATGTTGTGTCTCAGGAAGTGACATTTTTTTTTTTGTATGTCAAAAGGTTTAAAGAAATTGGAGATATTAAGATTACAAGAGATAGATAGAAAGGTATCCAAGACTATGGTAAGATTCAATTGATTTTATTACCCTTTTATAGCCGTGGATTTGAGGCTATTCATATTGATTTTTATTATTTTAATACCTTAGTTTTATTTATTTTGTTTAGGGTCCATTATAAGTGGGAATTGTAAAGTCCACATGATTGTTTTTTATTTTCTTTTTATTTCTTTTCGGAGGAAATTTCGTGGTCCCTAGCTAGTTTCAAATGATTGATTGTGTTAAATGTTTTCCAGCAAAAAAAAAGAAATGTTAAATGTTTGAACCCATGAACATAAAAGCAAAAAAAATAAAAATAAAAGTGCCTTACTTGAAAGGGATTACATCTTTAGTTTCAGCAATTAAATTAACCATTTAAATATCCTTTTATACTTATTAAATAAAAAAGAGTACTTAAGATCGCTTAAATTAAAATTAGCCGATAAATATATGGCAAAATGTTTTACTTGGGTCAAATCTAAGATCATTTAAGTGAAAGTTTTGTCCGTATCGAAGTATGATCATATATGATAATTGTACTTGGTGAAGAATAGAGTAAGAATGTAGTGTTTGATGACAACCTTTTGAGTATTAGATATTGACAATAAAGAAAGTGATTAGAGTATGGGTTGTGATAAGATGAAGTCGGAATTAGAATTTTTAGTTTATAGGTTTTGAATTAAAATTCGCTTGTTTAATGTAGGGTTCTGAATCGATTATTTATGAATGTTAAATAAATATGAAATTTGAGCCAAAATTATTAAGTTTTGACAAATCTATGGCTCGTATCAACTAGTGTGAGTGGCACTGAAATTCAAACTGACAACCTTTGAGTGATTTTATATAATATCGAAGTATGTGATCATTTTATTTCAAAGTTTAAATTATTTAAATGAATACGTACACTTCAATTTAGCATAATAATTTTAACCTTGAGTATGGCATAGTTAAAATTCTAGATTCTTGTAAATATAGAAGTGGCAATGCAATTTGGTGCAATAATCACAAGATGTTGTATAGTTCCCGGGTGTCTTGTGAGTAAAATATAGCTTTACAAAAATGGGTGATTGATATGAAAATTTGAGGATTTTCAGTATCCATAACATTTTACCTAAAGAGCAAACAAATCATTTGTCTGGCCCAGGAATTTTACAACTTTTTTTGGTATTTTGTTTCTTAGCAACTAATAATTGGCAAAAATTGAAAAAAAAAAACTCAAAAGTCTATAGTTGTTGGTGTCCAAATAAATATTGCACGTCAAAAGATAATTCAACTCCTAAGAACTTTTATGTGGTGACCAGACATTCAAAAAGTGAAGATAGGTAAAGGGAAAGTGGTAGAATGCACCCCAACAATATGGAAAATCACGTTTCTACTTTTTCTTGAAAAGTAATCATTTTAAAATTTAAATAATATATTAATACTAAGTAGTATCTATTTTTTTTTCTTCTGATCAATCGATTTAAAACAATATATTAATAAGAGATTTTTATTTATCGATCTGAAAAGAAAAAACATGTATATATAATTTATTTATTTTCAAATATATATTTTTTTATCGATGCGACTGGTAAAAAAGAAATCATATTACAGTGTTAATAACTTTAACAAGATTCCATGTATTCAAGAAGAAGTGATGATTGATCATCTATTACGAGTTATTGGACAAATGTGAAGAACAATCTATCTTTTTCAGCTCATCTAAATATAAAAGGATGTTTTCTGGTTCATTACTCAATTTTTTTCTTGACTTTTATAATTTTGCATTACTTAAGTATTCTCATATGTAATACCATCATATAATTTATTATAAGCGATTTGATGGTCATAGAATATAATACATAATTCTCCGTAGTTTTATTTTACTAATCTTTGTTAACTAGTAGATGTTCATAACCTCATTAGGAATGATAAGATAAAGTCTAATTTCTCTTACTTATACTAATTAATTTTTATTGAGAATTTATTTTATCATTCATAAAAGACGGTTAGGCACACCATCTAATAATATAAATTCACAAAAAATTAGAGCCGATCGATATTCTCACGTTTTTTCTCCACCATTCTTTGATTAATATTTTTCAAATGTCCACCCACCACCACTTCTATAATTTACCAATGGAGAAAAGGCACATTGGCAAATAGAAAATAATCACTATAAAGCTTTTTGCCAAACTTTAGGAACTGAATAGGGACTAAAGAAAAATTTACAAATTGAAAAATGTGAAATTTCCAGATTTGGACAGCTCAAAAAAAAAGAAGAATATACAAAAAAAGGGGGGGGGGGGGGGGGGGAAAGCTAAAGACAATGGTACTTTATTGAGTGCTTTGACCTTATAAAAAAAGTTGCATTAGCAAATTATGTAACAATTAGCATGTCACACATATTGTTCTACTTTCTAATTTTACTCCAATAATTTGTTTATTGTCGGTATAATTTTGTATACTATTAGATCACTTATGAATTATTTGCAGGTTCTATCATCAATAGATATAAGAAAAATGTTATCGTCCTTTTAGTGTAACGCGGTCCATGTCCATGTCCTTCGAGGTCCAAAAAACATGACCTTTCATGTTCGATCTCTTTCATTACTGTTACTTAAAATTGATTGAAGAAAAGTATCCAATTTTAGGGTAAGCAAACTTATAGGGACACAATTATTCATACAACTCATGCAAACAAAATAATGTTGTGTCTTTATATTCTACGCATCAATTATTAGGATTGCATAATTAAAGGAACAGTAATTTTAATTTCTTGAAAGATTATTCTTAAATCTTGCTTTTTCTGGATGTTATTTATTCTTTCACAAAGGTTTAATCAAAGATTAATTATAGAATTAATGTCTAAATTGGATACTTTCAAGCAAAGGTGGCTACGCAAAGTGACTGAGTATTAAGAATTTTCTTGTTTTGCGACTATAACTTTAATTTGTTGACTAAATTACAAATCATTAATCCAATGTCTAAAATCTGTGGTTCACAACAACTCAAGATTATAAAATGGGAACTATTTTTCTTCTGTTTAATTTATATCCATCAAGCTTGCAATTTAACTAATTATTTTAAGGGGATCTTTCGCAAATCGCCACTATAACAAATTTAGTTACGCTCCATAGCTATAGTTTGCATATTTACGGACTGTAGCTACAGTTTAAGCTGCCTTATTTGTATAATTCGCAGGTTTGTATAATTCGCGGGTACATTTGTATAATTCAATTATTTTTGTATCAACTCGAAATAACGAATTTATACAATTACAAACATCAGAAGTGTAAGCAGTTATACAAATTATATCATACAAATTCCGAATGATACAAAAGTTATACAAAATATATTATACAAATTCTGAATTATACAAACGTGGGAATTATACAAAACTAAAAAAGCTGACCCCTGTAATTATAGTTAAAAGTAGGTGACGAATTGTAATTAAGGCAAACTATATCTATGTTTACTGTAATTAAATAGTATATGTTTGCTTATCCGCGTAATTTTTCCTTAATTACTATCGATGAATTAACCTCCTTAATGCATGATTAATTAAATGCTCTCAAGAGCAGATTAACTACTAATTATTATAATAAAGAAATAGCATAATCAAGTCTGTGTCTTTGGTTATATTAATTTGTTTATGAGTAAGTCGAATAAAAAAGTGTGATATATAGGCTATAGCTGTCTAATATTGATTCTAACTTGTATATTAGGCAGCTCTTGATAAGATCTCAAGAAATAGTGTTTTAGATATTTATTTTTTTAAGAATGTCAAAACGGAGACGTGAAGTTTAATAGAATCTTAGAGACATGACACCCGCTGATTGAATAAGGTATATAAATCGCTAAGAATATCATTTACACCTTTTAGTTAAAAGCTTGTCACGTACCAATCTAAAAGTCTATTAGTCCTTCTTTCTGATATGCTCTCGTCGACTTTTCTGTCATCCTGGCATTACTTATTAGTACTGCTAAAATATAGGGTTTGAAAATAAGAAATTGAATTATCTGACTTTGATAGAGTAGTAAGGCCTCCCTATAATTGTTATAGGTATGATGACAAAATTCCTCTAGAATTTTACAAAGTCTAAGATATTCAAGTCAATTCAGCGATAACTTAAGAACTAAATTGTTTTATATGATGAGTATTTTGAGATGAGGGAAAGAAATTAATGTCCAATATATATTAATTTCATTTCTAAGAAAAAATAAATCCTTTCGTTCTTAGTATAGAGGTTTATTTAGAACAAATCCAACCTTTTTCAACGGGGTATTTTTTCAAATATTAACAAATAAGACCGAACAAAACATCGAATGCACCATGATGGGCATCATGTCTATGGTTGCGATAGTCATTGACATTAGCTTTGGTCGTGATAGCCATCGCACGCTCTATTCATCATGGCATGTGACACAACTTGTTACACATCAAACTTGTCCTCATTTCAATTATTCATTCTCTCTTATACTTCCAAAACAACACTAACTATTTCAAAATTTACCATTCCAATTAAACGTAATTTTCTTCCATCACAATATATAAATAGGGTATTTACTCTAATAGTATATTTGTCAAAGCCCAAACCTATGGCATGTACACCTATGACCTATCATATGGAAAAATTGTCTTATGGTAAAACAATATTAAGAAGTAAAAAATAAAAAAAATAAATGGGAAACGACAACTGGCGCTTAGACAAACTTTATTCCTTCAACTCTGTAGTGACGTTACTATTTTTGGTTCAGTACATACTAAAAAAACACGTGTTTATCAAGTTATTTCCACTATTATCTTCAAAAGCTAACTCAAAAGAATATCACGTCATCATGATTAAATATATGAAGCGTGAATAATATAGAGCAATAAATAAATTAAAGGTTGTTTTTTTTAAAAAATAAATAAATTGAATTCACAGTTTATTCGATTTTCTGGATATTAGACATATTAGCTATACCTATTTAATGTATTTTATTTGTAATACAAATAAATAGTGTATGAACTGAAATTATTGATTTTTTGTTGAACCTGTTTGT